CTCAGCTTAAAGGGAACACTGCTCCCGACCGATGCTCCCTCTAAGCTGTGGAGTCTTGTGAGCAAAAATTCTACTTTGTGAGCTACTAGCATTAAAGTTGTGAGTGAGCAATTTGGCTACTGCATCAATTAGTTGGCTCTGGAGCCATCCTTCCTGAGCAAAGACAAAAATGTGTGAGCTAGAAAACTGTGAGCTAGCTCACACTAACTCAGCTTAGAGGGAACACTGCTCCCGACCAATGCTCTCTCTAAGCTGTGGAGTCTTGTGAGCAAAAATTCTACTTTGTGAGCGACTGGCATTAACGTTGTGAGCGAGCAATTCAGCTGCTGCATAAATGAGTTTGCTCCGGAGCCATCCTTCCTAAGCGAAGGCAGAAACGTGTGAGCCAGAGGCTAAAAAACCCCTGTGAGCTAGCTCACACTAACTTAGCTTAGAGGAAACACTGCTCTTGCCCCGGTATTCTTTGGAGGTCTCTCATCCAAATACTTGCCAGGGTCGGCCCTGCTTAGCTTCCGAGATGAGGCTTGCCTGGGCTATCCAGGTCAGGGCAACAATACTGAGTTTGATGAACCAAAGGTCTGATACAGTAGAAGGCGGCTTCATGTGTCTGTCTGTATTTCTTGAACACACCTGCATGAAAGTTGGCTGCAGTAAAACATCTTCGCAACTAAATTTTAATGCTATTTAAGGATTAAATGCAGAATGTTTTCTTAGGCGGCCCATGTGGGACTATAGAGTTATATCTGCTTAAGGACAAGGTAGAATTATAAGATAACGATTGCAGGTAGCTGTGTTGGCCTATAAAAAATCCCCTAAAATAGTAATGGCAGCTTGGCTCTGATACAAAGATAATACAAAACACGTTCCCTGAACCTTTTTATCAAAGCGGCGGTTAAGAAAAAGTTCGGGGGGGGGGGGAATACTTTTCAGGGCATGATGGGAAAAGCCCTTAATTGGGTTTTGTGGTTCAGGGTGTAAAATAGCTTCAAGAGGCACAGAAAATTACTGGAACAGAGAAGCGCACCAATAAAATGGTCACTCTTCCTTTGGGAGTATAAAATCCAGCTTTAGTTACGGGGGGGGGGGATTTTGGGGTTGGTCCTTTTGTTTAAGATCAAGTGTAGTGTGTGTTTGCAGGATTAGTGCTGGGAAGATGCTTGATTAAATGGCTTTTATATTTTCCAAGGGATAGTGACTACTACATTTTTTTGGGCTTCTCTTTCCCCTGTGGTTTTTGCTGCTGTTGCTGTTTCAAATCTGTTAGGTTGGTAGTGACTCAATAACCTGAGAACTGAACGCATTGCAAAACTCCAGGAGTTAGAGAGCATAAAATACTGTGCTGAACTTGAAGACGGTTGGAAACTTCAGCTGGTTCAAAGGACAGCAGCCCGGCCCATGATTCCAGTGCTACAAAGCCATTGGTGGCTGCCAGTCCCCCCCCCCCCCCCCCCCCAGTCTGCTCTGCATTTCAAGGTGGTGGGATTGAACGTCAAAGCCTGGAACTGATCACTATCCGCTGCGTACAATCTAGTTATAATCTTCTTGGTAGTCACCATGGCCAGAGAGAGGAGATTTGCCTGTAGAGAGAACAAGACATTCTCCACAGTGGTTTTTTGCCAGTGGAACTCATCCCATCTAAGGCAGGGGTCCCCAACCCTTTTCAGCTTGCAGGTACCAGTAGAATTTTGACAGAATATGGTGGGCACCGCCACAAAATGGCTGCCTCGGGAGGGTGTAGCCATCCACAAAGTGGCTGCCAGAACTTACCTTCAGTCACACAGTGAAGAAGTTTGTGCAGTGGTGGCAGCTGCTGCCAAAGCAGCATTTTTTAAAAAAGCCTCTATAAACCAATCAAATATCCAGTGGCCAGGAGGAAACCTCACTGTGAACAACCCCGTCTGGCCCTGCCCACTTTCTAAAAGCACTTGGAGGGCACCCGGAAAGGTGTTGGTGGGCATCATGGTGCCCGCGGGCACTACATTAGGGACCCCTGCTCTAAGGTATGCCCGGTCTGTTTGCTTGGGCATGTCAGGATTGCTGCAGAACCTTCCCTTTTCTAACAAGCTTTGGTCCACAGGAAAAAGTCGAGGCTTAATTGTTTTTAGCCTCTCTTTTTTTACTGTGCTCGTTTAACTCTTAAATGTTGTTATATTTTTGGGAATTGAGCCTTGCTATGCTGCTCCTTCCTTTGAGTGCTTAAATTAATGGGAGAGTGGGCTACAGGTTTTAAAGCATTGGCTTGTAGCACAAGGTCATCCACACAGGCTCAGTGGGTGATCCTGGTGGGAGACCAGATGATGTTGGTTTTGCCATGATTTGTCTTCCTAGTCTCCGTAATCCAATAGAAATAAAACTTCAGGTGGGTTAGCCGTGTTGGTCTGAAGCAGCAGAACAAAGTTTGAGTCCAGTGGCACCTTTAAGACCGACAAAGTTTTATTCGAAGTGTAACCTTTGTGTGCAAAGCACACGAAAGCTTACACTTTGAATGAAACTTTGTTGGTCTTAAAGGTGCCACTGGACTCAGACTTTGTTCCAGTAGGAATAAGTACAACATAATGGTTTGCACAGGAGCTGCGGTGGCTCAAGTGGTTAAGACGCTGAACTGCAGGCTGTGGAAGGTCAGTAGTTCAGCAGTTCAAGACCCGAGTGTGCCGCATGACGGAGTGAGCTCCCGTCTCTAGTTCCAGCTCCTGCCAACCTAGCAGTTCGAAAGCAAGAAATTGCAAGTAGATAAAGAGGTACCACTTCAGTGGGAAGGTAACAGCGTTCTGTGCGCCTTGGTGTTTAGTCATGCCGGCCACATGACCACGGAAACGTCTTCGGACAGCGCTGGCTCTTCGGCTTGGAAACGGAGATGAGCACCGCAACCCTAGAGTCGGACTCGACTGGCTTTCGAGCAAGGGAACCTTTACCTTTACTAATGGTTTGCACCACAATTGTAAGTGATGCTTTAGCTGTAATAGAATGCTTTACATCAGAGTTATTTACCTTTATGATTTACTATTTTATGTAGGGAGAACATCAGCGCCATGTGTTTTAATAGAAATGGAATCTGTTCTAAGAAATGTAGCATTTAATCTGTTTGTTAGATTTAGGCTTCAAATTTCATTTTAAACCAGGCTGTATTTTTAGACACTCAAATAAAAAAGCCATTTAAAATCAGATTTTGTGTCTGTCTCTGTGTGTGTGTTTTTGGTCAAACAATTCAATTATAGCAATTGAAAATGTGCTAGAAGAGAACACCAAAACCCATTTCCAAAGGGTTGATTTTTATCCACCCTGACAGTTTTGTGAAGAACGAAGGGGATTCTAGTTCAAGTGTGTGAAGTGGAAGGACCGGCTGGGACTTCATGGTGTGTTGACAAGTCACTCTAAAGCTGCCAGAGGGCTTAGTGTTGGTAATAAATATGCCTGGGGCTGTTGAAGCCAAGAAGCTTTCAGGTTTCTGCCTTCCGTTCCCAGATTGCCATGTGGTATTCGATCCATGGATCAAAAAAAATGCAGTGCCGCCGCCCAAGAATTTCATTCCCCCCCCCCAAGACTGTACAGACATTAAGCTAGTGCTTAACTCTTACTCCTTAAAACAACCACAACCTGAAATATTTTCCCGCTTTTGTAATCCTGGGTTCGGGACTTAAAACAACACAGCCCAGTTGGGGCAGTCTGAATCGCGAAGAAAAAACAGGATCTGTAAGCAGTGTTCCCTCTATAAGCTGAGTTAGTGTGAGCTCGCTCACAGTTTTTTAGCCTCTGGCTCACACATTCTTGTCTTAGCTCAGGAAGGGATGGCTCCACAGCCAACTAATTGATGCAGTAGCCAAGTCGCTTGCTCGCAACTAATGCCAGTAGCTCACAAAGTAGGATTTTTGGTCACAAGACTCCACAGCTTAGAGGGAGCATTGTTTGTAAGTGCAGGGGAGCCCTGCAGGTAAGGGTGTACTTCAGTTTGTAGTGCTGCCTGCACTGTCCTAAGAAATCTAGGCAGTTAGGGATTTGTTTTAGGAAAAGGGGCGGTCTCACCAATTTGTTGGAAAGTTGCCGGTTAGCCGTATAACCCGTGATGGCGAGGAGTGGCCTTGGGGACCCTGCAGAGTAATACACTCAGGGCTTGCTTCTGAAGGTGAGTAGAGGCTGTATTGTTGTGTCATAGCCATTCTCACCTGGCACAGTTAGTGACATCACAGGTAGTTACAGTTGAGTCCAACGTAGCACCTTCGAGACCAACAAGGTTTTCAGGGTATAAGCTTTTGGGAGTCAAAGCTCCCTTTCTCAGGTACAGTGGCACAGTGACGGGCTTGGCTTAGCATAATCTTGGAAGGAAACTGGCTTTGACATTGTCGGAGGGAGGGTTTAAGAATAAATACAGAAGGAGAAGAGAAGAGATTGGATTTATACCCTGCCCTTATGGGGACGGCAAAGGATGAGATGGTTAGACAGTGTCATTGATGCAACGAACATGAAATTGTGCCAACTTCAGAGGACGGCGGAAGACAGGAGGGCCTGGCGGGAGCTGGCCAATGGGGTCGCGAAGAGTCGGACTCGACTGTGCGACTGAACAACAACTTCACTTGGAGTCTCAGAGCGGCTTATAATCTCCTTTCCCTTCCCCTCCCCACAACAGACACCCTGTGAGGTGGGTGGGGCTGAGAGAACTCTGACACAAACTGCTCTTTTTCAAGGACAGCTGTGCCAAAGCTTGTGACTGACCCAAGGTCACATCAGCAGGTGCAAGTGGAGGAGTGGGGAATCAAACCCAGTCCTCCCAGATTAGAGTCCATGCACTTAACCACTACACCAAACTGATAGTTCTGTAGGGTGGAGAGAGACTGGGTCTGGGCGAAATATCAGGAAGGTGGTAGTTTCAGGAAGGTACTAAATGGGCAGGTTACAAACGCGTCTGTTGCTTTTGGTGCTTGTGGAGATGCCTGTTTTGGGGAAGAGGTTGCCCTCCTAGACCTGCTCGGAGCCGCAACTAAAACCTTTCTCTCCTTATTTTTCAGGGCGTGTCTACTATTTCAACCACATTACCAATGCCAGCCAGTGGGAGCGCCCCACTGGGAACAGCAAGAACGGGCAAGGGGAGCCCACGAAGGTGCGGTGCTCACACCTCTTGGTGAAACACAGCCAGTCCAGGAGGCCCTCGTCGTGGAGGGAGGAGAAGATCACCCGGACCAAGGAGGAGGCCCTGGAGCTCATTAATGGCAAGTAATCGCAAGAGGAAAAGGAGAGGTTATCTCCTTTTCAAGTCAGATGCTGTGGCTTTCTTTCACTTTGCTTGCGGAGCTCAGCAGCGGGTATACAAAAGGGATTTGTTGTCTTACTTCCTTGCTTTTGGTATTTCAGCTGTTTAAGGTAATCCCCCCCCCCCCGCAGTGCATGACATTGTACCACTATGTAGGAGAAAATTTTAATTCTAGAGTATGTATGTCTTAAGGGCTTCCCTTTCCCATGCCATCCGTGGCTGGCTGTCTCTTCTTTACAACTGCCTGTTCATGTTTTTCAGTCCAGTCAATCTACAATCGCCTCCTCTCTCCTTGCCAGGAGTCCCCACTGTTCCAAAATCCCTCAGATGTCAAGTTGAGTTCAATGAGATTATGCAAAATACGCACATGTGCATAACTTTCCTTGTTTGCATAATTTGCAGGGATAATTCAGGATTTTGCTGTCGATGTGTTATTTTCAGTCGAGTTGGAGGGGTGCGCAACCCAAACCCCGCCCTCCATAGTCTTTAGAGACAGAATACTAGTTATACAGTATAATTTTTATCTGGGGGTCTAGGATTTTTATACAAACAGTAGATGAGGTTGTAAAACTGGTTCTGAGCTGTGTACGGTTTAAGATTACAAGTGGGGAACATCACAGTGGTTGGATTCATTGGACTTGCCAAGCTAACGTATTGAGGAAGAAGAGCCTGACTTGAGTTCTCCTTCCCCTGATGTATCATGACCTCTGAGCAAGAGGTTGTGTGGAGGAATGTCTAGTCCTGCACCCTGCTGTCTGAAGCGGTTCGGGAATGGTTTACCATCTCATCTCTTGGTTGTCTGGAAGAAATTGATAGATAACACAGACACTTGAAGCGTTGTCTGGCTTGGCTACAAAAGAAATGGGCCCCATAATCTACTATTTGAGAGGCTCCAAGGCAAATTCTAGATTATTTGACCTGACAGGGAAGCTTGCTCTCCTTTAGAAATGTAAGATTTCTGGAAATTCAGAAGCTGTGTGTGTGTGTGTGTGTGTCTGTGTGTGTGATGGGGTTTTCCCGTTTTTTTGTTCTGGGAGAAAACCAAAAATTTTGAGAAAAAAATTAAATAGATGCAATACTTACGTTCCTGTCAGACCTGAATTCCTTTTACAGATATCACATAAAACACATAGTTTATAGCTTAACGTATAAAATTGTACTAATAGGTATAAATGTCTGGAATTTTAAAGTATTAAGGTCTTCATTATATATAAGAAAAATGGCAAGTACAGTATTTACTCAAATACAAGATTAGGGGTTTCCCCCCTTAGGTATGCCATTTTAAAAAAGAGGATTGACTTAAGTTCACATACAATTTTATTTATGTCTCACATGGACTCAAGGCGGATTACACATAGTGATTAAGGGAGAGGCTGTGGCTCAGTGGTAGAGCATCTGCTTGGCATGCAGAAGGTCCCAGGTTCAATCCCCAGCATCTCCTTTGAATGGTATTTCTTCCTTTCAACGGAAGAGGAGAGTGGGATGGTCGCAAGTCACGCACAGTTAAGCTTATCTTTCCATTTGGGTGAATGATAATAGTCATGAGAGGCAATAACTGTTTGCATTTGGAGATGATCAGGCCAATATGAAGCATTTTGAGAGACACTATGGGTTGGGAGGGGCCATGGCTCAGTGGTAGAGCGTCTGCTTGGCGTGCAGAAAGTCCCAGGTTCAATCCTCGGCATTCCGGTTAAATGATCCGGCAGTAGGTGATGTGAAAGACCTCTGCCTGAGACCCTGGAGAGCTGCTCCGGTCTGAGTAGACAATACTGACTTTGAAGGACCAAGGGTCTAATTCAGTACAAGGCAGTTTCATGTGTTCATGAGTCAGTACAATCAACATAATGGGACATTCGGTAACTAATGCATTTGGATATTCAAAGGCTGGAACCACCAAAAAGAACAGGGGTATAGCATGAGTATTAACACGACACATTAAGCAGCCCAGAAATTACATAATAGGGATCCTACTTACACTCGACTGTGCGACTGAACAACAGCAACTTGCAATATATTGTATACAGCAGTAAAGACCACAAGCTCCATTCATTTATCCAGGTAAGTTTGTGAAACCATTTTTGTAGTGTGTAGCCTGATTACCTGTGCAAAAAAGCCCTCTTGAACAGTTCAGTGAAGCATGCAAATGGATACATGGGAGGAGCAGAGTCCCACAACTTGTGCTATTGTATAGGTAAAACTAAAATTATGGCATGGCATTCTATGTGGAATAGGCGGGAGACTCCAGAAGGTGTGGCTGCCGAAGCTGTAGCTCCTTTTCTGATGCCACTAGTGGCTGGCTGTCCTTGTTTTTTTAGGCTGAGTGTGCTGCAGCTTGCCTAAGATCGCCCAGCTGGCCTCAAGTGGGGAAGCAGGGAATTGAACCTGGTTCTCCAGATTAGAGTCTGCCACTTTTTACCACTACACCAAACTGGCTTTCTGTTGTGTATGTAACAGAAAAGATGCAGTTGCCATGCTAAAATTGCTCAGCCACCCCTCTCACAAACCAGTCCTCAAGAGGGGGCAGGTAGAATATTTCATATTCTGCTGTTGTTGGGCACGATCCTGCTGAAGCACTTTAAGGTCCTGCTGATGGTTTTTGTAAAAGAAATATGTATGCTTTGAAATCCGGGTATTGGCCTCTGCCTGTGTTGAACCCTTAATGTTTTAAAAAATCCCTGCTTAGGAGGGACTGACTGCATTAAACCTGGAGTGACCGTGGTAAATGCAAAACACTTCTTTTTCTTAGTACAATCTTCAACTCTTTCCATAAATGCTGAAATGTATAGCACTTCCTTTTCTTCTTTTAAAAAAGGTGAATTCTTGTCATGTCATCCAATAAAATATGTATTAAAAGTGTGGGCCTGTGAGACTCAAGGGGGGGGGGGACTCCCTCCCCACTTTGTCACTGGGCCCAGTGCAGCTCCCAGGCTCCTCTGACGACTGGCGGAGGTAGGTGCATTCTCTGTTCTTGCATTGAAGAAGAAGACGAGATTGGATTTATACCCTGCCCTTCACTACCTCAAGGAGTCTCAGAGCAGTTTACAATCCCTTTCCCCTCCCCACAGCAGACACCCTATGAAAGTAGGTGGGGCTGAGAGAGCTCTTTCGAGGACTGCTCTTGAGAGAACAGCTCTGAAAGAACTTGTGACTGACCCAAGGTCACACCAGTATCTGCACATGGAGGAGTGGGGAATCAAACCCGGTTCTCCCAGATCAGAGTCCATGCTCTTAACCACTACACCAATACTATTTTATTTTGGGTGGAAATAACCCCCCCCCCTGTATTTTTTTTAAAAAAAAGATTTCAGATTTTTATGTAAATTTGCGGGGGATCACCCATGTTTCTAGAAAAATCTGTTTTGTGTAAGTGCGGCCATGATCCACATATTTAAGTATCTGCAGATGGGGCCACAGTTGGGAAAGAGATATAGTTGGCCAGTGGTACACATGCATATGCATCTGGCAATGATAACTCGAACTTGTTAGTCTGACTGCATCTGGTTCCTGACCTTGCACAGGCACTCGGATGCAGCATCAGAATTTTCCCAGGCTAGGGCCAGCCAGAATTTGTGGTGCTATTTAGGGGCTGGGGAGAAATCCCTGCGAAACTGATACGACTGTCCAGGAAGTCATATTTCCTCATCCAGGAAGCCTGCAGCTTTTACTCATTTCACAACCCTGATTTACCCAAAGCTGGGTAGTTATTTCACCTGTCTTAAAGCTGCACATTAATATGCCCTTTGTCCTGACCTGGATTGCCCGGACTGGCTAGCTAGCCTGATCTCGCCAGATCTTGGAAGCTAAGCAGGGCCAGCCCTGGCTGGTATTTGAATGGGAAACCTCCCAGGAATATCAGGGTCGTGATGGTGATGGGGAGGCAGGCAATGGCAAACCACCTCCGAATGTCTCTTGTCTTGAAAACCCTGTGGGGTTGCTATAAGTCAGCTGTGACTTGATAGCAAAAAAGCCCTCTGCTTTTTTTTAATGTCCCTGCCCACATCTTAACACCTGTACAGCATCGGTAGTCCCAGTATTCTTGTATAAAGGTGGAACTATGTTGCATACAGATTCCTTCTCATTCTTCAGTGGAAGACGGGGTTATTCTCTCAGTTTTTGAAGCTGTGTGTATGGCTGGAATTTAAAAAAAGAATCCCACTTGGAAGCTGGGAGTCTGAGCTAATTACCTTGCCACAGACATTGGGGGGGGGGGGATTATCTTGGACCAGAATTAACCTGGCAACCTGTGGTCGTAAGACAGCAGGTCTCTAAGGAGGTGGCATATAAATGTGTTAAAAAAGTAAAGGTAAAGGTTCCCTTGCTCGAAAGCCAGTCGAATCCGACTCAAGGGTTGCGGTTCTCATCTCCGTTTCAAAGCCGAAGAGCCAGCGCTGTCCGAAGACGTTTCCGTGGTCATGTAGCTGGCATGACTAAACACCAAGTCGCACGGTACGCTGTTACCTTCCAACCGAAGTGGTACCTATTTATCTACTTGCAATTTCTTGCTTTCGAACTGCTAGGTTGGCGGGAGCAGGAACTAGAGACGGGAGCTCACTCCGTCTTGCGGCACCCGGGTCTCGAACTGCTGAACTACTGACCTTCCACAGCCTGCAGTTCAGCGTCTTAACCACTTGAGCCACCGCAGCTCCTTCAATATAAACATAAATGTGTTAAATAAATACAAATTCTCAAATTTTCCTGCAGTCTGTTTCTCTCTTGTGGATTAGCTGTCATTCTGGTAAAAAAGTAGCTCTTAGATGCTGCCCTGGTTATTCTAAAATATGCAAAAATGTTTTTTTTATTTTGGAAGCACAACCTTCAGCGGGGATATTCTGTTATCTGCTGTGGCATTCACACATGTAAGAGCCTGTCTGCTCTGTTATACAGCATTGGAGGGCTATTTAGTACTTTTAAGTTGAGTTGTTCCTCCCACTGTGGGTTTAGCATTTGATCAGTCAAAAT